ATTTAGAATGAATTTTCAGATTTAAAACAATGCCTCTAAGATTTCACAGTCTAAAACAGAAAGTCAAAGTCCACACAAACCAATGAATGACTGCAAAGGCACATAGGGCTCTTCAGAATGCTTTCCCCATAAGAATGTTTCTAGAGCCTTCATACATTTTGTTCAGTTATATCCACAGTTCCTAAAAGAGTATCAGGTTGGTAGTGCGTCCAACTGATTGACAGACGAAAACAAAGAAGGCATTCAACAGTATTTCCTAAGTTTACCTGTATAAATATTAAATACTCACTTATATAAGCATTTCTTTTAAACAGTCAAGAGCCCAAGTGTTTTTAAGTGGTGGTAGATTAAATGGGGTTTCACATATCCATTCAATGAATATTGATTGAATTTCTACTATGTGCCAGGCACTGTGTTAAATGTTATGGACATAAAAATGGCACACTCCTGACCTTGAAGAGCTAACAATTATAATTACAATAAAATAAGGGTTACAAGAAGCATGTGCTATGAGAACACAGGGTATAATTGATTCCTCAAGAGAGAATGACGGGAAAATTTACAGACAGGTGACCTTTAAGATGTGCCGTGAAGCAGGCATTACAGACCCAAATCCCTGTTGGGACCAGGCAGGTAAATAAAATAAGGGGTTTGGTCATGGTCAGAAGTATAGCAAGCTGAAGACTTTATGCACTCCTAAAAGGAGTAGCTGCCATTCAACCCATTCAAGTGTTGCCTTATAGGACTATATAGGCCCAATGTTATCAGGTTTCCAATTTTTTAAGAATAGATGCAAATCAGATTTTGGGGTGAAAATAGTTTGGTAACTGATTTAAAAATTTTAAAAAAAATGTCAGGTCAAACAAAATGTCTGTAGGCTAAATCTGGCCTGCCAGTTAAGAGATTATATTCTCTGCCTCAAAGTAGGAGAGAAAGGGGCATTTTAGACATATAGAACAGTATATTCCTTATTGTACTCAAATTTCTACACAGTACAAAAAAACAAAAAACAAACGAAAACTCCAAACAAACAAGTATATGTTACCA